TTAAAAAAAAACCTTAATCCTTTTAGATAATATTAGTTTCCTCTGGCTGTTCTCCCTGATTGTAGACAGTGTTATTCTGGGTGTAAAAGTCAATAAAGTGCCCTCTGGATGCACCTTTAATAGATTAAAAAAAATCAAATGTCAAATGCTATATTGGTATTATGACTGCTTTATCCGTGTTTGGTTGTTAAAAAATGTTTGAATCTTAATTATAATACTGTTAAAGATTTTGTGGCACACAGCACAGAAAACATGTTTGAATGTTCAAGTTTGGACCAAATTCTATAAATAATTTGACGTGTGTGTGTGTGTGTGTGTGTGTGTGTGTGTGTGTGTGTGTGTGTGTGTGTGTGTGTGTGTGTGTGAGGTACTCTGACTTTGCTCTAATGGGACCTGACAGCTGACGTAAGGAGGAGGCTTCAGGAGATAATGGGTACAGTAAAAATTGTTTTCAGAGTGGACTCCTCGCCCAGCCTCACCTCCTGTACTCAGTAGAGATTTTTCTCTGTGTGTGTGTATGTGCGTGTGGGTGCTTTGTTTCTCCATCTGAGCTTCAGGACGATTGCAGTTGGGCCCCAGCGGCGAGCACTGACACCCCGGCCCCATGGTGCAGAAAGTTAATACTGCGACAGATGTGCCGCCTCCGTGCTGCCTCCCGGCCATACACAATACTCACCCCCCTCCTCCTCCCCCTCTTCCTCTTTCCCCTACTCCCTCATCTCCTTCCTGATATCCTGACAGAAGAGTTTGAGGTAATGTGTTGTAGATCTGTAGGCTTTCATGTGTTCCTGAAAATGGACTTTACAAAACTTTTATTTGTCAAATGGACCTCGAACTTTGAAATAGTCTAAATCCTGATTCACATCGATTATGTACCTGAATGATTGACCAATAATAACTGGATTGATTGAGATGTTGTTCTCCTTCCAGACAGGGGCAGTGACATGTCTGAGAGCTGTTTGCTAACTGCAGAAATACCAGAAGAAGCAGGTTAACTGTGTTTTATGAGTCACCGAGGATTATTGAAAGCTTCGACTCCTGCTCTGTTTTGCTCCTCTGAGTAACTTTGTAGAGAGGTCTCAAACCAGACAGAGAAAGTAGGAACAGTTGAGCCTAACTCTGCACTATGACCGTTTACGGAGATGAAGCTTTGTGTTCTTCTGCCTCCATATTTCCTCTGACATCTATCCTTTTCAACATTTTCACTCCCCTGCCTCCTCCTCCCCCCTCCCCTCTTCCTCACCTGTCCTGTGTTCCACGGCGACGACTCTGCAGGACACTGATGTGTGATGAGTTTCCTGAAAGGTCCCAGGAGTTCAGAGCTGAGCCTCCTTTTCTCTTTCACTTCTACAACTCCTTTCTCTCTCTCCTAATTTTTCTCTTTCTCTCCCCCCTCTGCCTGTCACCACCCCCCTCCCTCTCCTCCTCCCGTCCTCCCCTCACATCACAGGAGTGAGTGAGATTGACAGCCTCCCCAAAGAGTGAGAGCTGGAACAGATGGAATATGAATGGTTCAGTCGTGTATGAAAAAGGTGTCTGGGTGAACGAGGAGCTGGAGAGGGACCCTCGATTGTGAGTTAAGTACGACTAAATCCCATCGTAGCTCTCAAACACACATATACACACACACCAAAAAAAAAAGGGGGGGGGGGGGGGGGGGCTTTAAAGAGACAGTGACAAATGACGGTTGTGTTTCTTTTGTCTTCTAAATAAAACAATTAAGAATAAATTAAATTGAAGAGACACGTCTCTTTCTGTTCACACTTGAATTTGGTGTCAGATTTTGGGGTTCATTTTCCTCCTAAATCTCTATATTATTTAGGTAAAAGTAAATTATCTTCATATCTAATATCATATCTAGTAACTGGATATTTGAAGCCAGGACCACGGCTCAAACTGTGGTGCACATCTGGATGCAGCACTTTGAGCTGTTGTGGGCTTGAACCTATGATTATCTGAACTGCAGCAGTGTGTACGAAGGATCATCCAATGAGGTGCTAGCCTGTCCTTTTGAAGACAGGTGCCTGTATGTTTGTATTAACCTAAATTCAAACCTTTTAAAGGTCAAATGTGGGGGGCCATGGGGTTAGGTACTTGGACCATTGATGTTTGTATTTATATAATTCAAATCAAATCATCATTCAAAATAGATAGAGATCACACAAAGCTTCATTGTTTCAAAATAAATAGAGTTTTGACTGTGTTGGTGATAAATAACAACAAAAAAGTGGTTGAGAAAAGCTGCTTGTGGTGATGAGAGTATGTTAAACCAAAAGACGGACCAGACTCCAAATCCAGATATGATCAAGTCCGGCTGTCTGGACTAGCACTGAAAGTTTGTTGCATGTGTGGTTTTGTGTGAGAGTTGCGTTTTGACAGGCAATACCTTCAGGCCTTTGGCATCATGCTTTAGACGCAGGAAATGATTCACATTTAAATGAAAAAAAAATTAAAAAGTATGACAAAAAAAACTTTTAAAAAAGTGTAAAAAAGCTGAACAATAGATATAATCAATAATTGATCATCATTAATAATTGAAGGAAACCTAATTTGAAAGTTTTCTGTCCTTTTTAATTTAATGCACAGCTGCAGAGAGCTGCTGGAGAGAAGCAGAAAGGGCTGCATATGCCTCAAAAACTGCAGGATCCTGACCCTAGAGCTGGAGGATCTGCTAATGAGAAGAGCCTGAATACTGAGACAAGGCAAATACAGGAGCTTTGTTTTACAACAAACGTCTCACTTCCCTCAAGTCGCATCCTTGCATTCCTCACTTGCATCCTAGTCCCTCCCACCAGAGATGCATGAGCAGATGTAGATGATGAGAGAAGAGAGTGGAAGTGGGCTCTCCTCTCTCCTTCAAGCTGCAGTAAGGGCCGTGTGACGCCATTTAGCATCAGCAGGTCCACTTCGGGTTGTCTGGAGAACTGTGGAGACAGCATTTGAGTTTACTGAAGTTGGACAGATCCTCTGAACATTTGTGTTTGTTTAATTTGTTCCTTCGAAACAGAATAAAGTGCTCTTCTTGCTGATACAAAGCGCTGTGTTTTCTGTTTAGATTGTCATAAAATAGTCTGACTTATTTCTCAAACACCAACATGATCCAAATCTCTTTAAAGAGAAGTTTCAGCGTCTGTCTGCAGTCTCTCCTGAAGGGTCTTCTCTCAACATTCACTTTCCGATATGTCTGCAGTGTGTGTGTGTGTGTGTGCGCGCGCGCATGTGCGCGTGTGAGGCTGCCTTGCAGCCGTCTGTGGGCCACACAGGGCCTGTTTTTGAATTTGTGATCAAAAGTTTGGGAGCAGACCAGCGCTGAATCACGGCCTCAAAACAGCTGCTGTCACATCGCTCTGAATAATTTATCTGTTGATCCGACTGGATATATGTTTCCTGCTCCTCTCTTCTCCTGAGAGTGTGAGTCTATGTGTGTGTGTGTGTGTGGGCGTGTATGCGTGCATTTGTGTGTGTGCACTTACAAAATAAAATGCTTCAATCAACAACAACAACAACAAAATGATCTGCTGTTTTGAGGGGGCCACTGCGCAACACAAATAGAGCTGATATCTGTTTGCATGCACAAACACACACACACACACACACACACACACACACACACACACACACACACACACACACACACACACACACACACACACACAGTTATTGGAGCAGTGGGCGGCCATACTTGTGCAGCCGTTTAAGCCCACAGCAGAGTCTCTGCTCCTGTTTCTGTGAGTGTATCAGCTCATTAGGATGATTTAAAGGAGTGGAAATGATATTAGGATAATTTCAGAAACACTATCAGAGGCTCCATCCTCCCAAATGATCATTTAAGTCCTGCCTGTAATGGCGATGAGGCTGTTAGCTGGTTATTCATTTCAGACTGTGTTAAGCACAGCACGAACAGACATTAAACTCAGTATCCAAACACTCCTGTTTGTTGGGAGGAAATGAAGTCAGTCAGCGAGAAACCGCCATCCATCAGATGTCTCCACCACTGCCACCAACACCACCGCTGCTACTGCTGTTGCCAGGATCTGAAAGAATGGAAGGATTCAGAGTTTGAGATGGAGAAAGTTGGTGAGAGTTAAAGCCCAGCGATTACCTACAAATACAAACACAAATTATCATCATTGAAATTAGTTGACAATAATTTTCATTCAGTGTTTTATTATTTCTTCATAATGAATCCTCTGCTTTAAGAAGCTATAAGTCAGTTACTACAGTTTAGAGGGAAGTACTTTTGTCAATAAGAGCCAGTTTTTTTCATGTAATAATAAAGTTAACGTAGAAAACTGTGGCCTGAAACAGGGAGAGCATACCTTACCCTCTGTTTTACCTGAAAAGCCAAGGCAGGGAGAGCAACAGCAGCAAAGACATGGATAAAATCAGACACACACTCAGGATAAAATAGTAAAAAAAGAAGCAGGAAGAGTAGGCATTTTCAAACACACAAACACACTTATCCATGACGGCTCATGACCTGAGCCGTCATGGCGTATGTCTCATGTATAGTCTCATATTTGGACTGTAATATAATTGATCTGCCTTATATATAGGTAAACTTATTGTAGTGTATGGTGTGAGTGTCATTATTTCTCTACACTTGTTAGTTTTACTTCTGGTGCTCACATTGGACAAATCCGTGTTAAAGCATCTACAGCTTAGACCAACAGAAACCTGGAGTTTGAAGTGAGCGGTGAAGCACTTCTCTGGTGTTAAGAGGTGCATTACTGAAACAGTGAACTGGGAATTAGAGTTTACAGCATGCTGACACAACAGATGGATGTCTGAGCTTTGACTGCTTGATATTTTTATTTCAGGGTGATTAATCAGACTGATCCGAAGATGTTTTTAAAGTCTCTGCTCCTTCTTAGTGCTCATTTCTCTTCTTCCGCAGTTATGCACTACTGCTGTCAATGCTGTTTGTTAAGGTGTTGATAAAATTTAACCTGTTTGTTCAGTTCACCCTCCCCCCAAGCACCCAGGGGCTCTTCATAAGGGGGTTGGGGGTTGGGGGTTGGGGGGGGTGGGGTGACAGTAACAACCACACTTTGTGATAACAAACATTCCGACGATTAATGTGATTGATCGGCCTCACTCCTTCTCTCTCATCACCATTTATCTTTAGTAGCCAGAGTTTGTCATCAGTGTGTGTGTCTGTGTGTGTTTGTGTGTTTGAATGGGGGCTCTGTATGTCCCCTGGCATCTATTTGCTTTAAAGCGCTCAGTCATTACGACCTAATACATGTAGATTGTGATGTGAGGGGGAGAAGGGGGAGATCAGTGGAGTGTTATGGAGGAAAGCAGATGCTCGCCTCTGGAGTTATTACATAGAGAGATGATTAGTGTGTGTGTGTGTATATGTGTGTATATGTGTGTATGTGTGGATGTGGGGGGGATCAGTGAACTGATGGAAGGCCTTCAAGCTCGGAGAGACAGAAGAAAAAAGGTATTTCATTTGGAGCTCATTTACATTTTTTATGAGGAGACTCAGAGCGTGGAGGCTGAGGGGGAGGAAGGGGAGGGGGTTAAAAGGGAGGTGGGAGAGTTACTCCTTAGTCCCTACTGCAACATTTCTGGCCATTTATCAGACCCCTATCTGAGCTGAAACCATCAGCTGACCTTTGACCATTAACGATAAAACAGAGCACACTAATAGAGAATAGAGTTAAATAGAATATAAGAGAATTATATACAAAAATTTCGATGAAAGGAGGAAAAGAGCAGAAAAGCATCAAATAAATAAAAAGAGATGCAAATAAATTTAAAGTAAAATAGCATTTAAGAAAAACAGAAGAGAAATGACTAAAGAAAATATGAATAAATCCAACCAGCACAACAAAAGGCGATTAGAGTCATATAGAACAGAAAGGAAAATGTGAAAAGAAGAGCAAAAATAAGACACTTGAAAAATAGTAGAATAAAACTAAAGACAGTATAGAGTTATGTAGGTATAGAAGACAAAAGTACACTTGATGTGTGGTTGATTTGAAAAGAGTTGTTTTAAGATTAAAAATGAAATCGAGTAGTTTCTTCCACAAGAGCAGAGGAAGTACACCTGTAACTTTTCACTTCATCGGCCTGACTGTAGTAAGCTGCTCTTCTGATGATGATGCTGCTGCTCTGCACACTTTCTTCTAGTGTCCAGTATTAAGGTGTAACTCTGGAATCCTTGGATTGTGTTTTTTACTGTGCTCTTATAATCTCTTGTACATCTGCTGCTGCATATAACAGTTTTATACAATGCTCTCTCCTGCAGTCTTGTTTGACCCTTTTGTCACATCAGTTTATTCTTTTTGGTCCTCACATTTAGGGAGGACGCCTGTCTCTGTGATGTGTTTATAATCTATAAACATAATCTACTGAATGCACTCCAGCATCCAGACTGATTTCATTGAAAATCTTTATACAGTAACTGATATAAAATTGAACTCCTTGTCAGGTCATGTAACTCAGCACTGATGTGACCTGAGGAAAAAAAACACATGAAGACAAACAGAGAAAAAGAAACTGAAGAAAAGGCATCTGACGACTGATAAAGGTGAAGCAAAGCCAACATGGCTGACGATGATCAGCAGCTCCAGATCAGAATAACATCACACTGGTTTCCATACTGCAGCAAAGTTCATGCTTATTATTGTTACTCAATTTTTCTGTGTATTTTTTCTCAGTTTATCTTTCTCTAAATACGAGGTGAGCTTTGGTTAGCTTGGCACACAAACAGCTGTTCGAAATGTCCTTTTACTCTGAGACTGTGAGGACATCTTTGAGTCTGGACCATAAACTGTCTCTGCAGGAGACACATTAGAGTGCTGCTAATCCTAAAAGAGAAAAGAGTGAAGAGTGAGAGCACTTTTACCCCCTCTGTTAGACTCTCTGTTTAGGCAGAAATAAAAGATCCTCCATCCGCGGACCAGCTGCCGGAGAATCGTCCTCTTAATGAGAATAAGCAGAGAGTAAACTTGTGCATGTGCAGCGCCCAGGAGACTCGGTCTTAGTGTACACACATGAAGCGCCTTCACATTGAGACTGAGCAAACAAATAGATTTCCTCCGCCGCTCTGTCAGATGCATAAAAACTATAAAAATATCTCTGACGGCTCAAAGTAAAGCGGCGGGGGAGGGTAGGCGAGGCGTCTCTAACAACTTCCTGTAATTGGGATTTATTGAGAAGGAAGCGGAGGGTAAAGATTTAGAAATTATAAGCTATTATGTGCCAGAGAGAGTAAGCGAGGTGGGGGGGCGGGACACATAAAACACAGCTGACAAGCCAAGGCAAATTAGCCCAGGACCGTTAGAAAAATCACTTAATTGCCGGCAATTCTGTCAGGTCAATTGACTCTAATTGAAAAAAAAAAAAGAAGAAGGCGATGGAAAAACAAAAAAATATCATGAGAAGAGCTAGGGATGAGGTGATTGCTTAGGAAACAAGCCCTGATTGGACACCCTCCTCTTCCTCATCCTGACATGATGCAACACTGACAGACAGAAGCTCTGATTGATGCTATTATTGATTCATCTGCTTATTATTGATCTATAATCCTTCAACCAGAGGATACGAGCCAACCTTTGAGTCCTTCTGTCACAACAGGACACTGTGTAACACTATTTCCAAATTTACTGCCCAAACACCATTCCACCTTAAACTCCATTCATAATGAAAGAAATACAGTCTTTTTTTTACAGGCATGAAAATCTCTCACCTTTCGGCGAAATTCGCCGTTTTGAAGTCAAAAAGGGTGACCTACTTGAATCGTGTAGATCCGAGGAGAATTTTTTTTAGGGGGGGTTGGGGTCGGGAGATTTTTTTTAAAATTATTATCATGTGATTGACTTAATACGTAAACTGAGCACCTCAGAAATCGGCCCTTTAAATGACACTTGGACGGTCAGCAAATCATCCTGGCTCCTTCGCTGACGAGAACCAATCACAGGCCAAACTGCGTTCCATTATTCCAATCATGCGCACACTCTTCACGTGTACTTGGAGTGCTTGGAGAGCCTGTGGTAGCATTGCAAAGCTGCAAGAACGAGAAGCAGGACTTATCCATGCCGGTGTTGTGCTGTAGAATGCACCCCTGCCGTAGAATGCCCCCCTGACGAGAGCGCGGTTAAAAGTACACAACAAGGTGAAATAATCCAAGTTTTCCTTAGCGTTGGACGGATTCAAAAGCGTGCGCCTTCAATGACTTCATTCAGGTTCTAGAACTTGTTGTCCTATGCTTTGGCCCATGCTTGAAGCCTTTTGTGACAAAATAAAAACATGTGAACCCTGGTCTTCTTAACACTCCTTTTCGCCGCTGATGTTATTCATTGATTCATTAAAACGTAATGGTTTTGAGCCATCTAAAATAGCGAAAGCGGGCATCTCGCGTTTACAGCTCTGCAGGGCTCTCGTGACACACGCATTCCCACCCGTTCACACGCCACACATTGTATTTCTCACGCATTTATATGAACATGGTGATGTCCACAAAGTTGCACCTCTGTAACAATGGAACAGGTAGAAATCAACTGAGATCCTCCGAGAGTTCAGAAGCTGCGTGCCACGCACAAGCCAATCAAATAAAGTATATATACTGAACAGCCAATCAAAAAGCAGCATTGCTGTATCCGGGTAGATTTTGATATCTTGCAGTTTGACTACAGAGGAAGACAGACACTCGCCAAAATAGGGCAGGTTTTTATAAGGACGAGATAGACCCGATGATTACAGTAAGTCAGTAACCTACACATGCAGAGACCTCAACACCTCATGGCAGATAAACTCATGTGATAAACTAAAGCCCTATGCTATTGCTATTAACAGCTGTATTGATGCCTCTGTACAGCCATTTCCAGCCATTTTCTACTCCACAAAAGCAGCATTTCTCATATATTCTTTTTAAAGTTCTGACAGTGTAACGCTCATGTACCAAAGGATTAAGTATCTCCATGTTTGTGAAACCTATACTCAAGTATATTTCATTTAAATGCTCCTCAGTGCTGATTTTAGCAACTCTCCTCCACAACAGGTAACTTTACAACTTTATTCTTATATATTATTGATTATTTATTCTCCTAAATAATAACTTTATTCTCTGAGATTTAAAGACGTTTTTTTTTCTCAGTGTGGCCCTCATACTCCATTGTATTTAAGAGATTATTATACTAATAATTATCTTCAATCGCTCTTCACCCCCCCCCCACACACACACACACCTTTTCAACCCCTGACCCATTTTCATGCCTGTTTTTTTTTTTTTTTTTTAATACTCTTTTTATTGGTTTTTCAGATTTTAGAGTACAAACATTAGAAAAACAAGACTAACAACAGAACATACACAAAAACAAACCAAAACAAACAAAAACAAAACAAAAAGTCCCACCCCAAACTAATGCGAGCACTGCAATATATATCGCTATAAATCCATCCATGCATACACAAATATATACACATACAAAGTCAGCAAGATGACAGGAGACAGGCAAATAAAAAATAGTCAGCCTTCCTCTTCCAGGGACATATGATGAGTTATAATTTCTGTAAAAAGGAATTAAATGGTTCCCAGATCCTCCAAAACTTGTCCGATTTATGGTTAAGGTCGTGAGTCAACTTCTCGAGAGGAATAAGTGCAGAAATCTGTGTTATCCACATGTCGACAGTAGGGACCCGGGAAGTTGACCATCTCAGCAAAATACATTTTTTAGCCAAAAATAAAAGGATTATCAACAAAGATTTGGTATCTGCGTCAAAAAGATTGTCTGGGGTATAATGACTAAGGAGACAGAAAGAAGAGGTCAGCAGAAATTTTTTACCAGTGACCTCCTGGATTACAGAGTGTACCCCCTTCCAAAAAGTCTGGATATGGTCACATGACCAAAACAAGTGAATAAATGTCCCTTTATGTATTTTACATTTATAACAAAGATTAGAAGTGCAAGGGAACATTTTCTGGAGGCGAACGGGTGTGTAATAGGTTCTAAAGAAAAATTTAAAGTTCTGTTCATGTATAGAGATCGAGGTACATTTAGGGAAAACCCCACTACAGATCTTGTTCCAGTCAACAGAATTAAACATCACCTCCAGGTCACGTTCCCATAGCAGCTTCAAAGAGTCATAGCTTGAAGAGTCAAAATAAAGTAGTGAAACATAGATCTTTGAAATCAATTTTTTGGGGGACTTAGCCAGAATTATTATGTTTTCCAACTCAGACAAACCCAAACGAATCTTGCCTGTCCTGAGAAGGGACCCTATAAAATGACGAATTTGAAGATATTTGTAAAAATCTTGATGAGGAATATTAAAATCAGCCCTGACTTGCCCAAATGATTTAACAGAGCCGGAATCCAGCAGGTCCATGATGTTAAGTACGCCCTTAGATGCCCATTCCATCAAACCAATACTCCTCATCTGTGCTGGTAAATCTGGATTCAGAGCTAAGGGAGATCGGGAAGAGATGACAGGAGGAATATTTAGGTGTTTCCTCACATCTCTCCAAACTAGTAGTGTATTATAAACAATTATATTATTCTTGAGATGAATTAACTGATCTATATTATTAATAAAGGGAAGGGAAATAAGTTTTCTGGGATAACAAGACTGGGATTCAAGACCCAACCATAAGGAATCTTTCCTATTCAAAAACCAATCTGACATCATCTTGAGTTGTGCTGACCAATAGTATAGTTGTAGAGAGGGCAGGGACAAGCCTCCGAGATCCTTTGGCTTAATAAGTATGGAGAACTTAACTCTTTGGTGTTTGTTATTCCAAATAACACGAGATATATGAGAATTGAGAGATTTAAAAAATGCCGACGTCAGATAACACGGGAGATTTTGGAATAAATAGTTAAATCGAGGAAGAATATTCATTTTTATAGTGTTGATTCTCCCAAGGAGAGAAGTTGGTAACCAGGACCATTTTGTCAAATCATTCTTAACCCTTTGAATTAGAGGAGAGTAATTAGTTTCAAACAGATTGTTTAAATCAGGGGTGACAAAGATACCTAGGTATTTAAAACCCATCTTGGACACTCGAAAAGGAGATTGTATAGACATATCTTGGGGGATATTAAAGGGTGTAGCGACCGACTTCCCCAGGTTAATCTTATAACCCGACAGGGCACTAAATGTGGTTATTGATTTCAGAACTGCCGGAATCGATTTCTCAGGTTTGTACATGTATAAAAGAACATCATCTGCAAATAAGGAAATAACATGGTTCTCCCCACCCACCTTAATACCAAATATATCAGGATTAGTTCTGATGACCTCGGCCAGAGGTTCAATAAACAATATAAACAATAAAGGTGACAGGGGGCACCCTCATGCCTGTTTTTAAGAGAAACCTATGCAAAGTTACCTCGAATAATGACCAAAATTAGGGATGACACTGATTATAAGACGACCCCCTATTTAAGACTACCCTTTTAAAGACCAAACCTAATGACTCAGCATGTCACATGTGTGTAAATGAAGTACCTCATGATTGGCACACAGACAGATCTGCTGATACTGGAATAGGCTGAATAGGATGAATCCATTAAAAAATCCTGTATGTCCTACTTCTATTTTCAGGGCTTATATTATAGACTAGAAACATCAAGGGGTAACTTTTACCCCCTGCCATTTTCAAATACTTGTATTTCTGTTAAAATAAAACCCCTACATCTTAAAGTCCATGACTTACTAAAATAGATTTATTAATCATTCAGTGAATTTTGGTGAGTGTGTGATAGAAATTGAAATAAAAACGACCATTTATACCTTGAACTGCCAAGAAGTCATTTTTACCCCCTCATATAAAACACTGTATACAGCTGTCACTTTACGCCCAGTGCCACTCCTGATTGCTTAGCAGCGCTCATAGTTTTTTGCGCAATGCCCCTCTCGCCACTCCTAGTTGCTAAGCAATGCTTGTCATCTGATTTTGACAGCGATCAGTAGCTCTTACAACCACTAGCCATCATGTCAGAAATATGGGCCTAACCAAAAGATTCACGAGTGCCAAAGAGGCCTGGCAGTTGTACCAGGATCTGAGTGAGAGAGAGTTGGAAGGAGGACAGATAATCGTGGGTTTAAGTGAAGAAGAATCAGATGAGGGGGACATCAGTGTGGAGGAATTGGTGTGGGGAGAGCTCAATGACCCGTCATTTTTACCAGGTGATGATGAGTCATCAACAGAGGATGAGGAGCTGACTTCACAAAAAGGTGCTGGCTTCAGGTGACAAGTGAGGGGATGCTCTCTACACATGCTCGGCCCTTAGACATAGCCTGAGCTAGCAAACCCGCTGTGACAGGTAAATGTGACTGTGTGGCATTTTAGTTTCCCTAAAGTCCATGACAAGTCCTAATTGTGTTGCATTCTTGCTAGGCTACTGCTAAACTAATCATACATACTGTGGCAGTAGACAGTATATATCAAGCTGGGCAGCCTGTGGTGATATGTCGGCTTAGCTTTAATATAATAATAATAATAAATTTTATTTGAAAGCGCCCTTCAAAGCACCCAGGGTCACTGTACAATATTAAAAGCAAGATATTCGTAATAAGACAATAAATAAAACAATAAGCAATTTAAACAGATAAAAATCGACATAGGGAATGGATAAAACAGCTACAGGGAGTATGCGAAGCGAAACAGGTGGGTTTTGAGTAGTGTTTTGAAAGAGAGAAAGGAGTCAGTGTTTCTGAGATCGGGTGGTAGTGAGTTCCAGAGCTGGGGGGCAGAGCGACTGAAGGCTCTGCCCCCCATTGTACTGAGGCGGGCAGGGGGGACAGAGAGGTGGATGGAGGAGGAGGACCGGAGGGAGCGAGTGGGGGTGATGACGTGCAGGAGGTCGGACAGGTAGGGGGGCAAGGTTATGGATGGCCATGTATGCGAACAGGAGAAGTTTGTAGATGATCCGGTCTTTGATGGGGAGCCAGTGGAGGTGCTGCAGGACGGGGGTGATGTGGTGGTATGTGGGGGTCTTTGTAATGATGCGGGCAGCTGAGTTTTGCACCAGTTGGAGTTTATGGAGAGATTTCTGGGGGAGGCCGAAAAGGAGGGAGTTGCAATAGTCCAGGCAGGAGGTGACAAGGCTGTGAACAAGGACGGCGGTGGAGTGGGGAGTGAGGGAGGGGCGGAGTCTGTTGATGTTGCGGAGGTGGAAGTAAGCGGTGCGAGTAATGGTGTTGATGTGGGAATGGAAGGAGAGTGTACTGTCGAGGATGACACCCAGACTCTTTACCTGGGGGGAGGGGGAAACTGGGGAGCTGTCGATGGTGAGGGAGAAACTTTGGATTTTGGAGAGGGTGGATTTTGTGCCATGGAGGAGGATTTCAGTTTTATTGCAGTTTAGTTTGAGAAAGTTTGAGGTAAACCAGATTTTTAATTCAATGAGACAAGAGGTGAGGGAGGGGGGTGGTAGTGAGGACGTAGGTTTGCAGGAGAGGTAGAGCTGGGTGTCATCCGCGTAGCAGTGGAAATGGATGTTGAATTTGCGGAGGATGTGGCCGAGGGGGAGGAGGTAGATGATGAAGAGAAGGGGCCCCAGGACAGATCCCTGGGGCACGCCTGAGGTGACTGGGGAGGGTTTAGATGCGAATGATTTAAGCTGTACGAACTGAGTGCGGTCTGTGAGGTATGAATGAAACCAGCTGAGGGGGGTGTCAGAGAGGCCAATGGAGGAAAGTCTGCTGAGGAGGATGGGGTGAGAAATGGTGTCAAAGGCTGCACTCAGATCGAGGAGGATAAGGATGGAAATGGAACCGGAGTCAGCTGCGATGAGGAGGTCATTTGTTATACGGAGTAATGCAGTTTCTGTACTATGGCAGGGGGCGGAATCCTGATTGGAACGGTTCGTAAAGAGAGTTAAGGGATAGGTGACGATGGAGTTGAGTGGCGACAGTTTTCTCCAGGATTTTGGAAAGAAATGGTAAGTTGGAGATGGGGCGGAGGTTATCATAATTGTTGGGGTCTGATCCAGGTTTCTTTGGTATGGGGGTGACAGCGGCAGTTTTGAAAGCTGAGGGAACTATTCCAGACGAAAGAGAGGAGTGGATGATAGAGGATATGAGGGGGAGCAGGGAGGAAGAGCAGGATTTAACAAAGGTCGAGGGGAGGGGATCGAGCTGACATGTGGTGGGTTTTGATTTGTTGATGAGGTCTGAGATATCGGTGGTAGTGGGGAGAAGAAAACTGGAGAAAAGGTGGCAGGGAAGAGGAGGTTCAGGTCGGGGGAGAGGAGGTTGGTTATGATGCAATTGCTGGTGAATGTTGTGGATCTTTTGGTTGAAGAAGTCCATTATGGAATTGCAGGTTTCAGAAGAGTACAGGTGGGGGGGTAGAGAGTTGGATGGCTGGAGGATTTTATTGAAGACAGAGAAGAGAGATTTTGTGTTTCCTTCATTGGAGAGAATGAGGCTGGAGTAGTAGTTGGATTTGGTTTGAGAGATTAGGTCCTTATATTGTGTGATGTGAGTGGTGTACATATCATTATGGATGGTGAGACCGGTGCGTTTGTAGAGTCGCTCAAGCTGTCGGTTTTGGGATTTCATGGTCCTGAGCTCGGGAGTAAACCAGGGGGCAGAGGCAGAAAATGACACGGACCGGGTTTTCAGGGGGGCAAGAGAGTTAAGAGTGCTTGTGAGGCAGGTGTTGTAAAGGGAGACCAGTTCATCAGGGTTTGAGGGAGAGTCCGGGATCGGAAAACTGTCAAAAGTGGAGCGCAGGGTGTTGATGTTAATGTCCTTGATGTTGCGAAAGGAGATGAGGCGGGGGGATTTGATGGTGGAGAGCAGTGGCGGTTCTAGACCAAATTACTCCCCGGGCGAACACCCCTCCAAGTGCCCCCCCCCCCCCCCCCCCCCCCACATACACACACACACACACACACACACACACACACAAACACAAAAAGAGATAGAATTTTGAACAGATAGTTTTGTATTATTTTGTAGTATTATTATGATTATAACAACAAAAATAATATATTTCTCAATTGCAGAAATCCTTAAATAGAAAAAAACACAATCCTGAGGGCCATTTTGAGAAGGGCCCCCAGATCCTGAGGTTTTCTGACGTGTTAAGGTTTACAAAAAAGCTGCTATCTCGGCCTCTGTAGTAGATAGAAACAAAATTCAAAAAGTACTTGAGCGCTTAAACATGTGGCTTTCAAGAAAGCTATCTTTTAGTTTTGCGAATCTTCATCACATTTTTGAAAACCTTGAACAAACAAACTCAAATGAAAAGCGGCTGTATAAATAAAAGTAAAGGCTCTGCACTGGAGAATGACAAATAATTTGCTTTCTGTAAAACAAGTGGCAGTCATGATAAAGTGTCCATTCAATACAAATGTAAATATAGAAAATAAGGTGTTGAAAGGGTAAACAGCTGCCCCAGTATAGTGCCAGTACAAAAGCAGAACTAAAAACTAAAAAAAATGAATAAACAAATACGTGGCTGACAGTGTGTTCATCTATGTTCTCACCCAAAGTCATGCAACACTCAGAGAAAACGCTGATAGTGTGAGCCAAAGGACTCCATATGAAGAGGTTGTTCACACTGCTGGATATTTCTCCTCTGAAGCTGCTCTCTGCCTCAGTCATTGTTTACTTCACTCATGAAGCTCATCAAGCACGTAGCAAGATCCGAGCATGAACCCGAGCGCTTTATTCGCCTATCAAAGGCAGATGGGTACGGTGATTTCATTCACTGCGACTCCAGAAATGATTAAAAAAACTACAAAATGACGTATCCGCGCTCCCGCTGATATGCTGACATGCGTACACAGAGCAGAGCTGTCCCCCCACGACTCTCTCCCCGCCTCGTCTCACACAGTCTGTCAGCCTCTGTCCAGCACCTTCGGAGCAAGCAGGGGCGCCTACAGCAGCGGGGGGGGGGGGGGGGGGGCCAATTTGACAACAAGAGTTAATACAAAACCGCTTTGCGGTTAAGATTTATTATTATTATCTTTTATTTTATTTTTTTGGAAGTGCTCGTGCCGCCCCCCATGAGTCATGACACAAATGCTGCCCCGGGCGGCTGCCCTGTTCGCCCGTGCCTAGAACCGCTACTGGTGGAGAGGCATAGGACGGCGTTAAAAGTGAGGAGCAGGTGGTCAGATAGCGGGAAGACATCTGCAGTGGGCTTGGATGGGGTGAGACCGGAGCAGCAGACCAAGTCCAGGGTGTGACCTTTGATGTGGGTGGGGAAATCGATGTGGGATTTAATTCCAAAACTGTCCAGGCAGGATGTAAAGTCTCTAGTGAGAGGCAGGTTGGGATTGTCCATGTGAATGTTGAAATCACCCAGCAGAATTAAGTTTGGTGATAGAGTTGATAGGTCCGTTAGAAGAGTAGAGAGTTCTCTAATAAAGTCACCATGAGTCTTGGGGGGGCGGTAAACTGTCGCGATGATGGTAGGTGTAGGACCAGGGAGCTTAAAAACAAGGCATTCGAATGAGTTGAATGCCTGAACGGAGATCGGCAGGACTTTCCACTTCTCGCGGTGAATTACCGCGAGACCTCCACCGCGGCCGTTGCCACGGGGACGGCTGATGTAAACAAAGCCGGGAGGAGTGGAGTCATTGAGAGCAGAGAAGTCAGTGGGTTGTTGCCAGGTTTCGGTTAAAAAGAGAAAGTCGAGCTTACGGTCGATGAGGAGATCTTGGACGAGATGACCTTTGCTCGTGAGTGAGCGGATGTTCAGCAGACCGAAGTTAAAAGCTGCCTTTTATACATCTATGATAGCATTAGGAATCCTTTCCTCATTAAAATGTGCAGTCAAAGTTAATAGAACTTTACTTTTAAAGCTTGTGCACGAAAATAACAGTCAAAGAAACCCCATTATCTTTTTTACACTCGGTTCATGACATAAAACATGCAGAAAAGCATGGATTGAATATTGAAATATAGACTTGACTCAGTAGGCTTATGCATAAGGCTAGTCTAATTACCTTTACGGCTCCAACAAAGTGAGACAATGAAGAAAGTTGACCATTTCAACTCGAGCTGATATCAACATACAGGGCTCTGGTTTCGTGCCCGCCAGCGGTTCGGCAGACGGTGGTGCACCCTGCACAGTGGTATTTTTGTCTGGCCAAGCCTGGTGCACAGCCAGTTTGGTGTTTTCGGAGACTGAGGCGCACTGAGCCGGGCGCGGTGGCAGGGTAGGGGGAGGTGTCGACAGAATCAGCTGGTGCAGTGACATTTTCGTGCTCGCCAGCGGCGTGGGAAGTGCGCTAAAGGCTCGCAGATTCAAACCTGGTTAGCTTTCAGCGCAGGCAGAGCGGAGCTGGTCAAGTGGTATTTTGGTGGACCAGTAGCGTAGTGCGCATAGGTTACCGGCAGGTTTCCACAGTGTCAGGCATAACTCAGTGCAATAAATAATAAACAACAAACACTATTCAGTGCAAACATCTGAATCAGCACATACCTTTAGATCTATATTGATATATTCTGATCTGTATCTCATCTGATGAGCACGTTTGGCATGCGTTTGGACACTCAACCTGACCAAATCAACACAGCTGAAACTGCATTAAATTAAATATCCAGTAAATAGTCACACATAATGAAGTTAACAAGATATTTAATTTGTCTCCCCCTTTTTCTCCCTTTTCCTTGCGCAGCTCGACCTGGACATGTCTCCGTGCCCCCCACCCCCCACCCTGCTGCTGCTGCAGCGGCAAGGCTAACCAGATGATTTATTTTAGTGATCAGATGAGTTATTTGAAAATTTGAACAAAAAAAGAAACTTTCATTCAAAATTACCTGTTCTAAATGTAATCTAATGTCCTCACATCCTTGAAATTCTGTGAATACTCAATCCGGAGTCAGGCCCACATACGAATATTATAATATTCAGTTGCATGAGCCAAGTTCATTTTATATGCCAACATCAATGAAAGAAAGAGCCAGGCCACAGAGCGTGATGCATCCTTTACACACAGGTGGTTCCGATTTTAATGT